TCATATTTGGCATCAACAGTTCGGATTTGGGTGCGAGGGGCGGAGCTTTGGGGACCCCACAAAAGGGGGTCGATACCACCTCCTTCAGGCCAACCACCAGTATAATCCCTGGTGCAGAAATAGGTGGCGGAATCCTCGTCCCTGAGGTTGTTCATCTGCAGCGTCACCGAGCTCTGCCCGTTGTCCCTGACGATGCTGAACCGGCCCTTCACCGACGGCGCGTAGTAGGTGTAACCACCACCAGTGCTGATCCCAGCGAGCCATTCCAGCCCCTTCCCGGGGCTCTGGCGCACCCAGAACATGTAGTACCTGCCGAAGGTGAAGCCGGAGGGGCGGCAGAGGATTCACAGGGACTGAACGGGGCAGAGATTGGGGGTCAATGGTTGAGATTTGGGGTCAATGGTTACAATTTGGGGTCAGTATCTGATCTTTCTGCACCAAAGATTATGGTGGTCGTTGGGTTGAAGGTGGTGGTATCAACCCTCTTTGTGGGGTCTCCAAACCTCCCCAGACCCTCCCCCCAAAGCTCCGCCCCTTCACACCCAGCTCTGGCTCGTTGCTCCCGACCTTGGGCTGGTTTGGCCCCAAATTCTCTGTCTTTGACCCCAAACCCCAACTCTTTGTCCCAAATCTCAACCATTGACCCCAAATGTCAACCATTGACCCCAAATCTCCACCATTGACCCAAAATCTCAGCCATTGACCCCAATCTTCACCTTTTGCAGAGTTTGGGGTCAATGGTTGAGATTTGGGGTCAAGGGTGGACATTTGGGACAAAGAGTTGGGGTTTGGGGGCCAAAGGTGGAGAATTTGGGGCCAAACCAGCCCAAGGTCTGGAGCGACGAGCCAGAGCTGGGTGTGAAGGGTGGAAGGGACATTTGAGGGGAGGGTCTGGGGAGTTTTCAGGAGGTTTGAAGAGCCTTGAAGGGGCTTGGGGAAACCCCCGGCATTATTGCTCCAACCACCAGCAAAGTTCCTGGCACAGAAATAGGTGGTGGAATCCTCGTCCCTGAGGTTGTTCATCTGCAGCGTCACCGAGCTCTGCCCGTTGTCCCTGGCGATGCTGAACCGTCCCTGCACCGACGGCGTGTAGTAGGTGCTACCACCAGTGCTGATCCCAGCGAGCCATTCCAGCCCCTTCCCGGGGCTCTGGCGCACCCAGTACACGGTGTGGCTGCCCAAGGTGGTTGTTGGTCCCGACCTTGGGCTGGTTTGGCCCCAAATTCCCCACCTTTGTCCCCAAACCCCAACTCTTTGTCCCAAATCTCTGCCCTTGACCCCAAAGATCACTCATTGACCCAAATCTTAACTACTGACCCCAAATCTGAACAATGACCTCAATGTCAACCATTGACCCAAATCCCAACCATTGACCCCAAATCCCCACCATTGACCCCAAATCTCAACCATTGACCCCAAATCTCAACCATTGACCCCAAATCCCAACCATTGACCCCAAATCTCAACCATTGACCCCAAATCTCAACCATTGACCCAAATCCCAACCATTGACCCCAAATCTCAACCATTGACCCCAAATCTCAACCATTGACCCCAAATCTCAACCATTGACCCCCAATCTCTGCCCCGTTCAGCCCCTGTGGCTCCTCTGCCGCCCCTCCGGCTTCACCTTCGGCAGGTACTACATGAACTGGGTTCGCCAGAGCCCCGGGAAGGGGCTGGAATGGCTAGCCGGGATCTGGATGGATGGTTCCCGCACGTTCTACGCGCTGTCAGTGAAGGGCCGGTTCAGCATGGCCAGGGACAACGGGCAGAGCTCGGTGACGCTGCAGATGAACAAGCTCAGGGACGAGGATTCCGCCACCTATTTCTGTGCCAGGGATGATGATGGTAGTGCTAGTTGGGGTGGTGATATCGACCCCCTTTTTGGGGTCCCCAAACCTCCCCAGACCCTCCCCCCAAAGCTCCGCCCCTCCCACCCAAATCTGAACCGTCGATGACAAACGTCAAACGTTTGGCCCAAATCTCGACCATTGACCCAAAATCTCAACCATTGACCCCAATCTTTACCTTTTGCAGAGTTTGGGGACAATGGTTGAGGTTTGGGGTCAAGGGTTGAGGTTTCGGGTCAGTGGTTGAGGTTTGGGGTCAATGGTTGAGATTTGGGATCAGTTGTTAAAGATTTGGGTCAACAGTTGAAATTTGGGGTCAGTGGTTGAGATTTGGGGTCAAGGACTGAGATTTGGGACACAGAGTTGGGGTTTGGGGTCAAAGGCAGAGAATTTGGGGCCAAACCAACCCAAGGTCGAGATCAACGAGCGAGAGCTGGGTGTGAAGGGTGGAAGGGACATTTGAGGGGAGGGCTCGGGATTTGGGGATGTTTGGGGGCCCCTTGAAGGGGGTTGGGAAAATCATCGGCATAATTAACACCACCATCATAGCTCCTGGTGCAGAAATAGGTGGCGGAATCCTCGTCCCTGAGGTTGTTCATCTGCAGCGTCACCGAGCTCTGCCCGTTGTCCCTGGCCATGCTGAACCGGCCCTTCACCCACGGCGCGTAGTAGGTGCTGGAACCATCCTTGTAGATCCCAGCGAGCCATTCCAGTCCCTTCCCGGGGCTCTGGCGCACCCAGAACATGGTGTAGTCGCCGAAGGTGAAGCCGGAGGGGCGGCAGAGGAGCCACAGGGGCTGAACGGGGCAGAGATTGGGGGTCAATGGTTGAGATTCGGGTCAACAATCATGATACGGGTCAATGGTTGGGATTTGGGGTCAATGGTTGGGATTTGGGGTCAATGGTTGAGATTTGGGGTCAATGGTTGAGATTTGGGGTCAATGGTTGGGATTTGGGGTCAATGGTTGAGATTTGGGGTCAATGGTTGAGATTTGGGGTCAATGGTTGAGATTTGGGGTCAATGGCTGACATTTGGGGTCAATGGTTTAGATTTGGGGTCAATGGGGGAGATTTGAGTCAGGAGTTGGGATCTGACAGTCAACGATCAAGAGTTGGCTCAATGGTTGAGATTTGGGGTCAATGGTTGACATTTGGGGTCAGTGACTGATGCTGGTGCTCTTGGTTGTTGTGGTGCTGATGATATCAACCCCCTGTGTGGGATCCCCAAAGCTCCGCCCCTCCCACCCAAATCTGAACCGATGATGACAAACGTCAAACGTTGAACCCAAATCGCGACCATTGACCCCAAGTCTCAACTGCTGGCCCCAACCTTTACCTTTTGAGGAGTTTGGGGTCAAGGGTTGAGATTTGGGACAAAGAGTTTGGGTTTTGGGGGTCAAAGGGGGAGAATTTGGGGCCAAACCAGCCCAAGGTGGCGACCAACGAGCCAGAGCTGGGTGAGAAGGACTGGGGGGAGAGTCTGGGAAAGTTTGGGGGAGGTTTGAAGACCCTTGAAGGGGGTCAGGGAAACCACCGGCATTATTGTTCCAACCACCAGCATGACCCAAAATATCAACCATTGATCCCAAAACTCGGCCATTGACCCCAAATCTCAACCATTGACCCCAAATCTCAACCATTGACCCCAAATCTCAACCACTGGCCCAAGTCTCAACCACAGACCCAAAATCTCAACCATTGGTCCCCAATCTCAGCCCTGGGGCATCCCATGTGAATCCTCTGCTGCCCCTCCGGCTTCACCTTCGGCAACTACGAAATGTGTTGGGTGCGCCAGAGCCCCGGGAAGGGGCTGGAATGGGTTGCTTCGATCAGCTATAATGGTGCTGCCACCAGACACGCGCCGTCGGTGCAGGGCCGGTTCAGCATCGCCGGGGACAACGGGCAGAGCTCGGTGACGCTGCAGATGAACAACCTCAGGGACGAGGATTCCGCCACCTATTTCTGCGGCAAACATGCTGGTGCTGGTGCTCCTTTTGCTGATGGCATCGACCCCCTTTGTGGGGTCCCCAAACCTCCCCAAAACTCTGCCCTTCTCACCCAAATCTGAACCGTTGATGCCAAACATCAAAAGTTTACCCCGAATCTTTTAACATGTTGAAGAATTTTGGGTCGACGGTTGAGGTTTGAGGCCAAGAGTTGAGATTTGGGGTCAATGGTTGAGATTTGGGGTCAGTGGTTGGGATTTGGGGTCAAGGGTTAAGATTTTGGGTCAAGAGTTGAGATTTTGGGTCAAGGACTGAGATTTGGGACAAAGAGTTGGGGTTTGATGTCAAAGGCAGAGAATTTGGGGTCAAACCAGCCCAAGGTCGGGTCCAAAGAATGAGAACTGGGTGTGAAGGGGCGGAACTTTGGGGGGAGGGTCTGGGGAGGTTTGGGGACCCCACAAAGGGGGTCAGGAAAAACACCAGCATAGTAAGCAGCATTATAATCACCCCTGGCGCAGAAATAGGTGGCGGAATCCTCGTCCCTGAGGTTGTTCATCTGCAGCGTCACCGAGCTCTGCCCGTTGTCCCTGGCCATGCTGAACCGGCCCTTCACCGATGGCGCATAGTAGGTGGTACCACCACTTTTGCTGATCCCAGCGAGCCATTCCAGCCCCTTCCCGGGGCTCTGGCGCACCCAGTGCATGGTGTGGCTGCCGAAGGTGAAGCCGGAGGGGCGGCAGAGGAGCCAGAGGGACTGAACGGGGCAGAGATTGGGGGTCAATGGTTGAGATTTGGGTCAACAATCATGATACGGGTCAATGGTTGGGATTTGGGGTCAATGGTTGAGATTTGGGGTCAATGGTTGGGATTTGGGGTCAATGGTTTAGATTTGGGGTCAATGGTTGAGATTTGGGGTCAAGGGTTGACATTTGGGGTCAATGGTTGAGATTTGGGGTCAGTGGTTGAGATTTGGGGTCAATGGTTGAGATTTGGGGTCAGTGGTTGGGATTTGGGGTCAGTATCTGATCTTTGGGGTCAAGGGCAGAGATTTGGGACAAAGAGTTGGGTTTTGGGGCCAAAGGTGGGGAATTTGGGGCCAAGGTCGGGACCAACGACCTCCTTCGGCGACTACCCCATGCAGTGGGTGCGCCAGAGCCCCGGGAAGGGGCTGGAATGGGTCGCTGGGATCTGGACGGATGGTTCCAGCACCGCCTACGCGCCGTCGGTGAAGGGCCGGTTCAGCATGGCCAGGGACAACGGGCAGAGCTCGGTGACGCTGCAGATGAACAACCTCAGGGACGAGGATTCCGCCACCTATTTCTGTGCCAGGGGTGATGATAATGCTGCTAACTATGCTGGCATTTTTCCTGACCCCCTTTGTGGGGTCCCCAAACCTCCCCAGACCCTCCCCCAAGGCTCCGCCCCTTCACACCCAGCTCTCGCTTGGTGGTCCCGACCTTGGGCTTGGTTTGGCCCCAAATTTTCTGCCTTTGGCCCCCAAACCCCAACTCTTTGTTCCAAATCTCAGTCATTGATTCAAATCTTAACCACTGACCCAAAATCTCAACCCTTGACCCCAAACTCTGCAAAAGGTAAAGGTTGGGTCTAACAGTTGAGATTTTGGGTCAATGGTCGAGATTTGGGTTCAACGTTTGACGTTTGGCATCATCGGTTCAGATTTGGGTGTGAGGGGTGGAGCTTTGGGGACCCCACACAGGGGGTTGATATCATCAGCACCACAACAGCCAAGAGCACCAGAATCTTTGGCACAGAAATAGGTGGCGGAATCCTCGTCCCTGAGGTTGTTCATCTGCAGCGTCACCGAGCTCTGCCCGTTGTCCCTGGCCATGCTGAACCGGCCCTTCACCGACGGCGCGTAGGTGGTGAACCCGCCGTCCTTCCTGATGCTGGCGACGAATTCCAGCCCCTTCCCGGGGCTCTGGCGGGCCCAGCCCATGTCGTAGTCGCTGAAGGTGAAGCCGGAGTGGCCACGGAGATTAGGGGGGGGGGAGGGATGTCAAGGGTCGAGGTTCGGGGGTTGTGGTTGGGATTTGGAGATCAGGGATTGAGATTTGGGGTCAATGGTTGAGAGTTGGGGTCAACAATTGAGATTTGGGATCAATGGTTGAGATTTGAGGTCAATGGTTGGGTTTTGGGGTCAATGGTTGACATTTGGGGTCAATGGTTGAGATTTGGGGTCAATGATTGACATTTGGGGTCAATGGTTGGGATTTGGGGTCAATGGTTGAGATTTGGGGTCAATGGTTGGGATTTGGGGTCAATGGTTGGGATTTGGGGTCAATGGTTGGGATTTGGGTTCAGTATCTGATCTTTGGGGTCAAGGGCAGAGATTTGAGACAAAGAGTTGGGGTTTGGGGCCAAAGGTGGGGAATTTGGGGCCAAACCAGGCCCAAGGTCGGGACCGTCGAGCCAGAGCTGGGTGTGAAGGGGCGGAGCTTTGGGGGGAGGGTCTGGGGAGGTTTGGGGACCCAAAAAAGGGGGCAGATGCTACCACCTGCAGGCCAACCACCAGCAGCTTTGGCACAGAAATAGGTGGCGGAATCCTCGTCCCTGAGGTTGTTCATCTGCAGCGTCACCGAGCTCTGCCCGTTGTCCCTGGCCATGCTGAACCGGCCCTTCACCCACGGCGCGTATCTGGTGTAACCATCATTCCTGATCAAAGCGACGAATTCCAGCCCCTTCCCGGGGCTCTGGCGCACCCAGTCCATGGTGTGGCTGCCCAAGGTGGTCGTTGGTCCCGACCTTGGGCCTGGTTTGGCCCCAAATTCCCCACCTTTGGCCCCGAAGCCCAACTCTTTGTCCCAAATCTCTGCCCTTGACGCCAAAGATCAGATACTGACCTCAAATGTCAACCATTGACCCCAAATGTCAACCATTGACCCCAAATGTCAACCATTGACCCCAAATGTCAACCACTGACCCCAAATGTCAACCATTGACCCCAAATCCCAACCATTGACCCCAAATCCCAACCATTG